TTTTTTTTTATCGTAACGCTCGAAAATAACAAGATACCTCAACGAATCGCGACAAACGGGATCGTTTTATCTTCTTTCTTTCGTTTTGTCGCAACGCTTAAAAATTAACAAAAAATGAAATAACATTCTCTAGAAATTTCTCCGTGAATAATAAACGGGTAGAGTAATATGAAGCGAGAGGAAATGTCGGAAAAATATTTTTACTTACTAAAATTCAGTTTTCGTATTATTTCAGGCCGCTGGAACTGTTGTTCGTGAAACAATGTGGACAATAATATACATTTCTTGCGTTTAATGATCTTCAGTGTTATCTGTCTTGGAGAAATTTTGAACATCATAATTATGTAATTTGTTGTTTGTAGTTCCAATTGCAGGAAACAAGGTGTGCGATAAAACAAACGAGAAATCACAACGAATTTTCCTTTTCCTCGTTACACCACAGGATGATTGAGATTAAAGTGAAATAACTTTCCAACGTGAGAAAAAAAAAAAGCGTTCTGTAAAGATTTCTCCACGAATAGAATAGAATCACTGTCTTTTTAACGCTCGAGGATTAATAAAGAGGATAGAATTTTAAAAATAGCTTCTCGCGAAAAGAAGTTGAATAAATTTTCGTGCGAAGCCACTGCGAGAGAAAGAGACGCACGACGCGGTGAAAGGAATTGCACGACTGCCTTTAGAATTGTAGTTCCCGAGGAAATAGAAACGTAGGACAAGGACTGAAGATGAATGTCCCGATGTGATATCGCGCAGTTCCGCGAACGAATCCTTTTCACTATTCGACACCACTGATTCCCCGCTAGTCCGACTCGATTCTTTTTCCTTTCCAGACACTTCCCTCCGCTACCTCGCGACCATTTCAATTTCAAGATCGCGATCCTACTTCCACGTCAATAGTGGAATAGGTGACACTGATATAAAATCGATTTTCTAGCATCGGGTAGCCCTGTCATTATCGTAGCTTGACAAATTGGCATATGATAGTCGCCGCCAGGTTTGTTCTCAGCTTCTCCTTGACAGAACAATTTTCGTTCGATCGGGCCGATCTAATTTTCGTCGTCGTAACGTATACGAAATATTATTTCACATTTGTCGTTATTTATTTGTTATTAACATACGAATTGTATTTCGTTTTATTTGGCTCAACTGATATTTTTGCAAATTATTTTTTCTATCCTTTGTATAATTTTCAATTATTATTCATTGATTTTACTTGGTACAAAAATCTTGTACAATTTTATTTATTTTTAATATATATTTTTTCTTTTTTTTTTTTTAGTAATCACAGTCGTACCGTGAAAATGTTAGATATTATGTAAATTTCTAACGACTCCGCAAACAGAATAGCAGGATTGAATCAGTGCAACACACGACGTAGAAAAGATGATAGATCGTATAAATTATATCTTGTTCCCCAGTTTGTCGTAAATTACTTTAGTTTGTTAAATTAAATTAAAAAATAGACGAAACACGGAAAGGAGGATTCAATTTCACCGAGAAATTTACTGCACGCCATGATAGTGATGGTAACCGAGTTTTTGAAACTATGAGACCGCGTAGCGTCCAACGTCGGAATATTCAATGGCCACGTTTTATCTTTCACCGGACACAGCAAAAATATGCACGTGCTCTCGTTCACGTAATAATTAAATTTAAATGTATTCTACGAATCTCCCTTTTGTTGGAAGGGAAAAAATTCGTCACAGGGAGAAGCGTTGTACAGGAACTTTTACATGAATTATATTATGCGCGTTGTACAGGATAAATCACCCAACTCTGTCATCTTGAAATTTATCTGTTGCATGGAAAAATAGTTTATTGATAAACTGTTATGGTTTTTATATTTTTTTGTTATTTTGCTTCCTTAAATGCAGTATGTAACCTAACAATTAAAACCTAACAATTTAAAACAACATTGAACGCTAAATAAAATCTATTAAGATATATGGATATAAAAATCAGAAGTTTTCAAGATATTTTTTTCTTTTAGAATTTATTTAAGATTGTGAGACATTTACAAGTAATTTAAAATGGTAAAATTGCGTGATTCACTCTATATAAAACATTTTGATACACCAATATACAATTGTCATGACTATATCAAGTTTGAGGCGAATCTAAAAATTGAAAGATGTTTTATACAAATATACATTTCTCAAAAGTCACTAAAGTATTCCACCAAACATACAATCATAATGCATTTAATAACTTTTAATTTTTTGAGTGTTTTAATCTATACAGTTTGGTCTGTAATGTTTGAAATAATTAATTTATTTACTGAAGGTTCAAAGAGAATAATATATTACTAAATTACATTTTTGAAGATGAACAAATTATTCTTATTCTTTTAATTTATTATATATTCCTCACTCAGTAATTTTAATAACTATTCGATCAACATATATTTATTCATCGCTGTTAACAATACAGTAATTATATATTTTAATATAA